TTCGATTTCTCGCATGTTATATTTCGAGAACCGTGTTCAATCTAGGTCAATCAAAATTTAAATCGACTTGGAGATTTGAAACTTACTTCCGAATCGGCACTGTCAGCACTACTATATATTGCTATTCGCGGTCAACTTTTAGGGTCATGTTATCGTCGTTAAAATCAAAACATTCGGAGACAAGATAACAAGTAATATTTTTATCATTATATACTAATATATTACAGATTTGAACAGCGCCTGATAAAACGAATAGTTAATTTTCCCGGGATACAGTCGATATATCAAACTTGTATCGCCAACTAGGATGTATAAATTGATAGTAGTTAGCCGCGACTGAAGTATTGCGTATTGTTGCGTGGGTACCACAACCTAATATCGTACAACATTTCGATGAAAAACTCCATCGTTATTTGAGAGAGAGAGAGAGAGAGATAAATTTGTCGAATCTCTCTCGTCTCTGAAACGAATCCGTTTCTTTCCCTTTTTTGTCATCACGATCGCGAGGAGTAACGCTTATTTTGATAAACTAAAATCAGAATGTGGAGCACCGGACGACCGAAGGTTGTGCCTCATCGTACTATTATACTATATATACATATACAACACTGCCGTGTGCAATTGCTGTATTATAACGTCGCACGGCTGGCGTATGCAACGCGCATTATATGTGGCTGGCATGGCATATACGTGATATACGTGGCGATACGCAGAGTGATGCATAGCCGAAGCGATCAACGCGACGTGGATTTGTCGCATTCAATATCGTGCGACTATGCAGCGCGATAGATATGCGTTGAGTCACGATCGTCGCATTGTTTTACCTCGAGATTATGCCTTACTTGCGTTTTTAAACGTTACCAAACAAACGCACCTGCAGTTTTATTTCTCGAAACTTTTCGAAAATCACCATCGTTATATAAGTGTACAGTGAGAGCAAAAAGTATTTTTGCGTACAAGGAAATTTGTTATAAAAAAAGCCTTATTTGTAGAAAATAAACATTAATTAGCCATTTTACAATGAATACATTCTGTTCTAACATAAACAAACGAGCTTTGCACGTTGTCCTGATTTTAGAAGCTAAATATTTCGTCTGTAGGAATACTTTTCGAACATTCAAACAATACAATTTTTTATTTTCGCTTATTTTTCAGATGATATATTTTGTAAAATTAATATAAATCTTTTTGGTATATATATATATATATAATTTTCAGAAACATACAGTCTATTTTATTCTTTATGAATAAATTGTTAATTATCCAACAAGAAATGATCGTTAATTAAACTCGTCGAATCGACGTCAAATTGATGTTGAAATTATCGTATTTATATTGATTCGATGACATTAATTCGATGACTCATTTCTCGATGGATAATATTTACGTTTTAAAAATGAAGTATTTAAAAAAAATATTTTCTTTGTACGCGAATACTTTTTGCACTCACTGCATATACGTAGCTTCATTCTAATATTACAATATTTTATCAATATAAACGATGCGGTAAACGGTTTTACGAAAATCTCATTAAACGATTATCTCATATAAGTAAATATGCGTTTATTGAAAACGTCATGCGTTCGTCGAGATTATTAAATTTCCGTGATAGTGACAGAACGACATTATTTTTTTCAATGTAGATTTTATTTGGTTCCTTTTTTAGATTACAAGATTTGAAAGATTTATAGAGATCTGTTAAAATTTGTAACGATACTTGATTGCACAGAAAATAAGTCTTTAGTTATACGAGCTGCGACTAAAATTTGATTGCAGATTTAACAAGTGTTTCAACACACAAGCGGAAATTCCGAAATTCTTCCAATCATGCCGATGGAATTTTTGGAGCGGTTACCATTTCCGAATCTTCGAGTGTATGCCGCCATAAGCGTCACCATACTTTCCTTTTCTATATACTATGCCACTCAAATAATCAAGGATCCCTCTTGGAAAACGAATCATACGCATGTCGATGTCGGAGTCCATTCCGAAGGCGACATTCTCGATCCGACTGATCCGAGAAGTCTTGGCACGCACCTTAAAGAACTTTTGGAATGTATGGTGATGGAGCCTGTCTGTGTTTGGGTATGTTTATTCCAAGTAAATGAATATCAAACTGTCTAGTTGAGAGTATAATAAATCCTATAATACGGCGTATATAAATATTTACGCATATTTAAATTTCCTTTCGATGTTATCGTATCGTTGCACTTTTTAAAAACTTGTTAGTGTCAGAAACTTTGAAGAGTGGATAGCATTGTAAAGTTTTATATGGTTTTTTATATCTATTATCTTTTATAATTAATATAATTAACTATAAAGTAATTTTTCCAAGTTATTAGTTTGCATTATCTTCTTGTCTTCTATCTGTATATAATACAATAGCTATATAATGATCATCTGTCTCAAGCGAGCTAAAGCGAGAAAAAAACAATGATAAAAAAATTGACGAGAT